CAAACTAACCACTGTAACCCAGCGGCTTAATTAAAGGAAGATGCTCGATATGTTGGACATCAACTGCAACAGCACACCTCCGTTTGATCTTCACATGTTGTGCATTTATCGCATTGCATTAGACCTATTTTGCTTGTATTTTGCCATGAGAAATCGTGCACGCATTTCACGTTCTTGTATTGCGTTACACACCAAGATAATCACTCTGCAAACCGAACTCGGCCAGAGTCTGACCATGTCCATAAGGACTTCGCTCGTCGACTCATCAACGACATGCTCTGCACACCTTACCTTATTCTTCAACGTTCCTTCCCTTTCCCGAGACGCGAGCTCACAGACAGGAGACAGGTGTATTTACACAAGACCATGCCGCCGCATTTCCCGCCATCAGAACTTCGCCGCTTCAAGCTCTAAACCTTCAGACATCCGGCTGGCCAACGACGTATTTCGCGGCGTTTCAGTGCATAAGGTCGCCCTCGAATAAGTAGCCTCCTGTCCACCATACATGTTCCTTTCCCGTCCAGCTTAATTGGCACGCCGGGACACGGCAGGCTCGCAATTGACAAAAGTTGTCCTTCCTGCGCTCAGTCGTTTGCGCAGCAGGTTGTAGAACGCACAGCCGAGCTGGAACGCGGGTGTGTCCTAGCAATCGGTGGCATCGCGTGACGGGCGCGGGACAGACCCCAACACAACTATCCCGCCTGTAGCCCAGCTGCCGACATTCCGAAGTCCGTCACCGATGGTCGCTAGTACCTCAGATGACAGTTGTCGGGGTGGGGAGGCTTTTGGGTATACCTGGTTACCCTCAGCCGGATCGTGATCGGCCAGGGGATAATGCCGTGGTTGACGCACTCCTACTCCCAGACGAGGGCTCCAGTACGGGATGCAGGCGCGCCAAGTCCTGTCGCGAAGGACCCACGTAGTGCGGTGAGGACGGACGAGGGCTGGCGTGGCGCACCACGAGTGGCAGACCACTAGGATGCCCTTGATCGCCTCGGGTCCGGCTGTCTGCACACTGCTGCTGCCACCGTCACATCCTCTGCGAGTGACCCCTTACGCCCTCTCAGGTAGAGGTCTGCACCGGCCGGCTGCAGCCGCGGCTGGCTGCAGCCCCACGGCTGTGTGCCGGGGCGGCTGCAAATATCTCCAAGAACACGGCTACGGCTGTGGCCACGGCTGTGAGATTTCAAGCTCAATCTTAAGTACTCAAATATAAAATTTTAAATCCTTAATCTTACATTCTGATAAGCAGTCTATGAGTCTAGCCTGCATGTAAAAATCATGCAAAGGATGCCCAGCAACATTGAAAATGGTGAAGCCTTTGTAATGGTTTTACCATTTGCTGTAGGGGAGTTTGCACTCTGGTACAGAATACTATTTATAGGTACCAATTGTTCCTTCATTAACCCTCGCCCGTATAGGGGGGGGTCGAACGGACCCCCCCATGGTTTTTCGCCAATAACTCGCGTAAAAAGCGGCCGATCGTGACGAAACTTTCAGTACCCTCGCGTTCATCAATTTTACACCTACCCTGAAAATTTCATGACCCTGACCCAAATGACCTTTGACCTGTGACCTACTTTTCGAGACCATGTTTGGCCGGAATCGCGATTCGGCGTACATATGTCGGCTCGCATTAGCCGCGCGTTTGCAGTCTTTTCGTGGTTTCAAGCGTTCAAACATGTGATATGATGTTGCCCCCATGCATTAGGGTGGGTGTCAAGGTCACCTGAAGGTCAGGTCAGGTCATTGACCTTTGATGACCTCGGTTCACTTTTTCGAGTTTTACATGTTTCTAGGCCAGTTTTTAGAGCTGAATTCGAATTTAGCAACCATATGAACATTTACGAAGTAGTTTTGGTGCCTTCGTAACATGTTACGAAGCTGTCAGAGGCGGTTGCCACCTACTACGAACACCCTTACTGGTTGACCTGACCTGACCTGACCCGACCCGGCCTAAATGCATGAAGACATCATCTGTGATCAAAACTAACATGATATTCGTGATCAGCACCCCGAAAAACCCCATAGCAGCCACACTTTACGACGTTCTAACAGGTCCCGATTTCCCCGACTTTTGGGTCATTGACCTGACCTGCAAGGTCAACCAATGACCTAGGACCTTAAAATTGGGTATCATCGGCTTCCTCTCGTCACGGGCAACACGCTCGTTTTTTCCGCGAAGCTCTAGCTCGATCAGGGGCGAAACGGCAAGGGGGGTCCAACGGACCCCCCCCCCCCCTTATACGTTCGCGGCTGGAAAAAACACCAATACGGGCGAGGGTTAAGAGTTTGACAGTTTCAGAAAAATGCAACATGTTGCATTGCCACATCCCTCTCAAATCAATCTCACCTGATCATTAGGAGAGCACCTTACAGCTATTGAAGACGAGCGTTCAATAATTATTTCAGGTACCTAATAGAAAAAGAAATCATGCCTAGGTTAAGGCAGGTAAAGGCTTAACAAAATATTATCTGAAATACCTCTTAGATGTATTTCTGGATTTTCGGCAAGTCCAATTACATAATATTAAACTAGCGCTTTATGTTCTAACTGGTGTGTGAGTGACCGCTAACAGAAAATGCTGATCAACGAAGCCAATGGAATTAGATTATAAGTGAGGAGCATGAACCTTACTTACGGTTAATTCACATGATAGTCAAAACCCTGAACACGTAATTCACATGACGGTGAAAACCCTGAACGTGCCCTGAGCACAATATTTCTTACGCGAGCTGTTGACTTTACTAATAAAATGACGTCTTCTTCTAAAAATGTTAAAATTTGATACTTAATCTTTTTTTTAGAGCAAGTTTTTAACTGCATAGCATTATTATTTATAAATTATAATTTTTATAGCTGGTTATAGTGAAACGTGAGTGAAACAAAACAATTTATTGCCATTTTTTCTATTGAGGTCATTTAAAACTCAAGTACAATTTTTGATTGAAAGAGGCAATTGTGGCTCGCACGTCCTTGGGGATTTGAGCGCAGATCATTATTTGGAAAAATCAAAATAGATGAATGTTTTTCTTTCTTGGATGCTCACTAGTACTAGTGTTTTGATGCCTTGCATATCAAATTAGTTTGGGACTTGCTCAGAAGGCTGCTTCAAGCCTGGCATATCACATCCCAGAAAATATCCAAGGTAAGAAAGAAGCAAGAGTTTTGACTAGACAATCACTGTTTGACAGTCCATCAACTTCAGTTTCATTTTCCATACCTAACATTGATAATGAAAAGCATCAGGGTCTGTTGTTCTGTCCCACAACCATGCTTCAGAATTTGGCATTAGATGTCTACACTGCTAGTGCTTCTATTCTGGTTCGTTGTTTATGTTTTCTGTTGACATGTAGGCACCTAGGTACCTACCCATCTTTCTTAACAACTTGCAAGGGCTTGTGTAGGCATGCGTTGCGCATCAGGCTTCAGGTCTTCGGCCTAAAGCCAGATATACAACCACTTAACCTATGATGCTTCATGAGCTTGAGAATCTATAGCCCATTGCAATGTGCTTTTGGCTATATGATATGTTTCAACTAAAAACAACTTATTATATACTATTTGGTTGCATTTCATTGAAAGTATCCACGGCCGGCTGACGGCTGGCTGCCCACAGTTTGCCACGGCTGTGGGCGGCTGTGGCTGTGGAGCCACGGCTGCGGGGCGGCTAGGCTGTGGAAAATTGCAGCCGTGCAGAACTCTGCTCTCAGGGCTCGTCACACCGGGTCTGCCGCCGAAATCAGTACCGGCACACCGCTGAGACCCGGCGCACAGCGCCACGCTCCCAGTTGCAGTGTTCTGCCGGCGTCGTATGTCGGAGGCGAGTTGGCGGCTGGCGCTCCAGAGGATTTTGGCCAGGATGTGAGGCCAGAGCTTGAGTGTGCGGCCATTCACCGTAAGGAAACGTTGATAGTAAGAGGGGGAGGGCTGCCGAAGAAGTTCGTTTGCATGAAGCTAATACATAAATCAGTCTAACTCACAGACGCTTATTTCGCTATTTCAAAGAGGCCACAGTTCACCATTCGTTGCAGTGCCGTTTTCGCACCAAAACAGCGTCATCGCCTTCCACCTGAATACTGCCTCCATGCAGCTCCTTCAGTAGTCTGTAGCCTTGCCGGATCGTCGTGTGAAGGAAGTAAGTGATGTAACTGATGTAGCTGGATTTCGGCTCATCAATAACATGTTCTTTCTTTGGAGTGATATCGACGTACGCGATGTGTCCCTCCGACATTTTAAATACATGCTTGTCAGACCAGCTTCATGAATTTCGTCGTTTCCGAAAGTGTCTTATTAGATGTACAGTCAGTCTCAAAAGTACCGCGCAATAGTGCGGGGGATCCATCAAGCCCGACCGACGGAACGACTGCTAAATTTGAGTCAATTGACATCCTCGTCCATTCCCCAGGTCAATTGGCTCGGTGACTTTCAAATTATAGCAGACCCTTCCTCGGTCAGGCTTGATGGATCCACCGGTACTTTGTGCGGTACTTTTAACACTGACTGTACTTTGCAACGCACTCGATCTTGACGTCCTAGTCCCATGAGGCTAGCTCTGTTGTGACTTGCCCAACTTGACGAGGAAGCTGTTGGCAAAAGCAGCAGATCCCCTGGAGTCCAATTCATGCTTTGTTCTTGGCTGGTCATAGGCCTCGAGTTTTCGAGCATACAAGTAGTAAATAAGACAGTGCCAATCGTAGAGACCTGCGAACAGCAAAGAACGTCAGTTCAGCGGTGTCAGTGGTGATGGCGCGTAACAGACACGCGTCGGAACGGAGTGCTGGCCGCTCGCCTCGCGTCACCTCCTCGCGCCGCGTGCTCGGCGCTCCGGAGGTGGCCGTAAGCGTCGCCGACAGCAGCACGTGCTCAGCCAGAGTAGCGTCATCGCTGACTCAGTGGTCGCCCTCTCACCGTCCCGAAATGACCCGACCGGGACATAGGCATCGTTGGCCCTCTCGAGTCGGTGCCACAATAAAAGCAGCGGGCCAGCAGCGGCGCCGAGTGAGAGCGCGTTCGAGTGGCATCCTCTGCGCGCAGCACATCGGTGAGCGAGCGAGAGCGAGGGCAGGCAGACGCCAGCCAGCCAGCCAGCCAGCCGACGGCGGGACGCTATTTTTACCGGCCGACTTGAGGATATATTTTTGATTTGGAAGTCGAACAGCCGGCGCGCCTAGAGGCAGTGGCCGCAGTCAGCGCGAGAAGCCCCGCCTGCCGACATCGCCCCGGACTCCAGCCGACTCAGGTGACTCGGGAGACACACCGGCACTGACCTGACCTGACACGAGCTGGCGAGGTCGGGCTAGGTCGACAGGTGCACGCGACAGTGGACGCCAGCGCGGACAGATCCAGGCAGGTGTGGTACAGGAGTACCGGCGGAGGCGGCGTCCCGGCCCGGTGGCAGCTAAGTGACACCTCCCGCTCGGGAGCCCCCAGCACACGTCTGTAGCCCCGTTTCCATGACACTTCTGAATCCGGATTAGCTCCGAATCCGGATTCAAACGACCATGAAAACGGCACATTTCGCGTTGGGGGATCGGATCGGGTAATCCGGATTCAAAAAGAAGATTAGAGAGGCCGATCCCACTTTGGCAGCATATGGCAGCACTATTCCCTTTGCGGCAGGCTGCGCCGCCGCCATTTTGAACTGAGCGTTTCGGCGCCAGTTTTGGTCTGCGGTTTATGTTTGCTGCAATAATTGGGATAAATTTTCTTAACCAATTGTTACAAAGCACGGCAGAAACTTACATGGTCGCAAGAGAAGACGACAGACGACACTACACACTCAGCACACCCACGTCCACCCTCCCCGAGCGGCACCGCGCGACACTAGGGGACGCGCCAAGGTCGCGCCGTCTCCCCTACCCGCCGCGGCGGGGACCCTCGCCGCCGGCCGTACAGTCTCGCCGCCGGCCGTACAGTCTTTAAACACTGACACCGTGGTCGCTGAATCCCAGTCGGTAGTCTCTGCGCACAAACGGTGGCACAGATCCCTGAAAAGACACAACTTACCGCTTGATTCGCATTAGCTTGAGAACGTTATGAAGGGAATTATGAAGTAAATCGCCGCAGCGCGCCAGTTACGTCTACCAATCCCGGATTAGAGAAGCCGATCCGGATCGGCCAATCCCGGTGCGAATCCTGTTTCGGGAGGGATCGGTCATGGAAACGGCACTGCTGATCCGGATTCGCCGATCCGGATTCGCCAATCCGATCCTGTCCGTAGTGTCATGGAAACAGGGCTTGTGACACTGCTGTGCCCGGTGACCTCCGGGGGTGGCTGAGTGGTCGAGGTGGCGGGACTGTGAACCAGTGCTGACAGGGTGACAGCTGGTGCGAGTGAGTTTCGGAGAGTCGGCCAGTGAACGACAGAGGACGTTTTTGGTGATGATTTGACATTTTGAGAGATACTAAGTCCAGCTTAGGCGTAAGCTGCAACTCAAACCATTTGGTCATTCTTATCAGGCAATTTATCTACTCTATATGCTGTGTTCGCAGATGCAGCCTGCAGGGTTCCATTCCTCACAAAATAGCGCGTAAACTCGCCTTTATCTGTTACTTACGGATGCTCTGTTTTGATAAAACAATTTTAACGATAGAGTTCATCTACAAATATCTGACATGATATACATTTGGTCGTCAAGATAAACATAATTCTGCCGAATTAGTTTTGGATGCATATTTGTGGAGAAGCGTGTCATGAACTTACGTTAAAATGGTATATTTTCATATTCGTCTAATCGTGTTCATTTCAATGACCAAAATTAAAACGGTTCAACGAAACTATAAGAACGAAAGTATCACATGATAAGGTCATATGACGATCAACATATATTTCTACAAAACTGATTTTTTCCCCAAGCAATCGCAATAATTCCTTAGTTAATTGATTTTGAAATGCTAATGTAAATCCCTGAAGACCGTCGCCGTCACATTGACCAAGAATTGTCAATTCCAGAGAAGCTGTACAGAGCTGTATTGACGTTTTACAAGCAATAGTTACACAATGCAAAATGTCTTGCGTTTACCGCTACATTATTCAACAACAAAAGTTTAAAAGCGAACAAAGTTTAATCTCAGACTTGTCAGGTGTATGCTTGGATAAGTGATGACAATAGAGACATTGTCTTTCAGTTTCAGCTAACCATTCATATTGTCTTAGACAGTGGTGACTGAGGGCGGCGTCTTCTTCAACTAGACCACCCCGATCTCCCGTAGGTCTAGGCGGTGACACAAATCACGGGATTCAAATTTATTTTAGTAATAGAGTGGCAAGAGAAGTGGGCCTTGATAGAATCGGGGCTTTTTGTTACGTTTCCTTGCATGTTAGCGGCATTACATTCAAAATTTCGGCAGAAATCTTCATTTTATTGGAATGATCTAGCTGTATGATGATGATGATAATGATGATGATGATGATGATGATGATCTTAAATGGTTTATGATTATGTCTGTCTTTTTTACCAAGTCTGTCAAAGGGACAAAAAGACTTGGGAGTTAGGAGGCAAGCTATTACACGTATACTGTTTTCCAGGCTGAGATGTGGTGATTTTACTTTCAGAAATATGATTTAATCAAATATAAGTAAAAAAAGCTTCCCGCTAAGTGAAAGTTGCCCAAGTTTTCAGATTGCTTATTCTATGCATGCAAGAAGTGCTCAATGTTCACGCAGTGTGCATTACGCATTAGATTGAGTTGTGGCTTCATTTTCGAACATCTGTCGTTCTTAGCATGGTTGCTCTTGCTAGGTGTGCCATTTCCAGCCTTGGGGGCAACCGTAGACCTTTCTGCACATGATTAGCACAGCACTTACTTTAGCACCAATCCAGGAATCGGCGAGGAATTTCATCAAGCTTTGAGAATCGATGAATCACGCGGGGACTTGATGCATTCCTTTTCCTTCGGCCATGAGCTGCCACTCAGGATCTTGTTCTTAGCTTGTTCAGTGTGTTCTGTTTGTGTTGTAAGCCAGCTATAGTAGCCACCCCATGATACGGCGAGTGACAGGACAAGGTGCCCGCCCCCGGGCGCCGCTGCTGGCCAGTTGAAAGGTGCGGGCAGCCGACGTCGGCCCCGAACCGGTCTCCGGCGGCACCAACACAAACACGTGTCTGAGTCACCGCGCCGCCGCCGCGCCTGCGCCGCCAGCGCCGAATTTGGCGCGCCAGATAGGATTTCAGCGCGGCCAGACCTTTTGTCTGGTGGTGGTGGCCGCACTCTGGTGCTGATAGCCTTGCGGTCTGTGGGACGATCCAGCTGATCATCGTTTGCCGCTTGCTGACGAGCACGGACGGGGCCGGCGCTATCTTTAGCGCCCTGTGCGGGCAGCTCTCCAGGGCTCGCCGGGAGCGATAACGGCAGCAGCAGCGGCGATGGCAGTGGCGGTGGCTGGGCGTTTATGCGCGAGCCGACAAGAACCGCTCATGGGGCGTGCTCCGGGCCCTAGTTGACCTCTGTCGGGCAGTCCGGGTGGGTGCCAACTCGGTCGAGGCCGGTGGGGAGACGATCCGAGATCTGAGCTCTCGGAATTTATCACTGACAGAGGCCCGGACCATCCAAGCTCTGATGGATGGCGGCGCACAGCTGGCAGCACGCTATCGCAGATCTCCAGATAATGGGATACATTCTGCCGTGTTTCCTAACACCCAGCGACTGGTGGATCCAGGGGGGATGTATTTTAAGCAAATACCCCCTTCGCACTGCCCAAAATCGATGCAAATTTGTCGTTTTTCTAGAATAGGAAGAAAACTAAATGAATGTAGCGAATCCATGAAACTAAATGACTTTTAAGGGACAAGTTTGCTTTTAATTGCACAGCAGTGCGCAAGAAATCGAAATCCAAAGAGTTCATAGAATTTGAAGAAACTTCCTTGAGGTATCCCCCATAACGTCCGAAATCGCCCTCTGGATCCGCCTATGCACCCAGAAGCGTTGCAGCTTCGTCAGGGATTGGATTTGTGTAGCTGTGATTCCGGGAACAGTCCTAAATAGCCTGTCGGGGGCGGTTTTGCGGAAATGTTTTCACGGCATTTACATTGCTAGGGGCGGGCACATTATGTGGCGTGCTCGTAAGCGACGTGCACCATATCGCCAGTATTGCATGGCCCCAAATTCCCAATAAATCATTGTGTAATTGCACTTTCATTCTGCAGCGATAAAACAGTGCTTTGAACTGGATGAAACGCATTTTCAAGCAACTGAGACATCCGACATTTTGACTCACAACGTTCATTACAACTTCCATGCACCGACTCACGTATGATGCTGAAACGATAGTCCTGAGGATGATTTTGCCAACAGAAAATCGCAGGCTGCGTTTTTTTCATTAAGATTTAAGTTGCCTCCAATATTTATCAATTACGCGAAACAAAAATAGCCACTGATGTAAAAATATATCACGCAGCCTAGCTGATATGAATGCTTTTTTCGCGTGGCCGGTTTAACTTGCAGGCGATTTGAGGAAATAAATATGCCGGCAGCGGGCAATTTTAGGTTGGTCAAACTGGTGTCTGAATCCTGTGTAGAAAGTACATTTCGTTGATTTACTAGTTGAATTTCCTCCCGATTCGGCAGTGCTGAGCGTTTAGCTACACATGAATGTTGATATCGTATAGGTACTTTCTTAGCCCCAGTTTTTGTGCGCAGTGTTCTCTGCCCTCCCTCTCTCCCTCCCACCTCCTCCCGTCGCGGTGCCTCCCCGCACCACCCCCCATAACAACTGACCGTGACCTGTGTGTCCCCGCAGCCACCATGCCGTTCGTTCCCAAGATGGGCGATCAGGCCAAGTGCCCGGTATGTGACCGGGCCGTGTACGCTGCCGAGGAGCGCGTCTCCGGCGGACACAAGTACCACAAGACCTGCTTCAAGTGCAGTGAGTAGTGACTGCGGTGTCCTACTCCGGCCACTGGGGTCAACTGCGACAAAAGCGTCCTCTTTGTTACTGCGGAGGGTTGGGTGCTCTTTTGTTTGGACCGTAGCGTAGCTCGTGCTATCCAAGTACTGCTTTTGCATATTGTGCTAACTATATAATGTTTTGGTGTGATTTATTGTTTCCAGTGTTTATCCTGAATTCATTCGTGATGCTTCGTTTTTTATAAAAATATAGTCCGAACCTTTTGAATGAAATGATTAACTAGGGTGAGTCCCCGTTTCACATATAAATGTTCATATTTTACCCTGATTCTGACCCTGATCCCTATTCACTATTACTATTGATCGCTATTCACTTTTGATCACTATTGATCGGTGTTCTGGCCCGCCTTCTCACTCTGACGGCTAACCGGCCCTCTGCAGGTATGTGTAACAAGGGTCTGGACTCGACCAACTGCGCCAATCACCAGACGGAGCTGTACTGCAAGCTGTGCCACGGCCGCCGCTACGGACCCAAGGGCTACGGGTTCGGCGGCGGAGCTGGCGCGCTCAGCATGGACAGCGGCGAGCAGTTCGGCAACAAACAGTCCGCATCGTAAGTACAAACAGTTCGGCAACAAACAGTCCGCATCGTAAGTACAGCTCGGCAACAAACAGTTCGCATCGTAAGAACAGTTCGTCAACAAACAGTCCGCATCGTAAGCACCTACCTACATTTCGGGAAGAAACACTCCACATCTACATAAGTAATGTTGGGAAAATAACAGTCCACATCGTAAAGAACAGTCTGACAATAAATTGTCCGCCTCGTAAGTTCAGTCTGACAAAGTACTTTACGCCTCGTAATTCCAGTCCGGATGCCCCCACAGCGTTGAAAAGTACCCCCTTTTTCACAGCAATGCATATGAAATTGGCATTTTTCTCGCGTGGAGAAGGAAATTAGCATATGAGCTCGAAAAACTTGTCTTGGATTGCACATTGATGCATAAGAAAGTGCCGGATTGCATGTTTTAGCATTTGAAGAAACGTTCAGTAAGAGGTAATGCCCAACTGCAGTGTTCAACTACGCCTTTATGGAAGCAACACTAAAAGCATAACAATGTTGAGATGCGTTTATTTGCTTGTTTTATGCTTAAGAGTAAAAACACATTTTGCCTATTAGTACATTGAAGAGTTTCAAGAAATTTGTTGAGCTTTGCGGTGCGCTGCCTATTACGCATAAAATTTATCTTCATTTTGCCTCACCAAACATGTGATGAAGACACGTTTGTTCTTTCTCGTTGTAGAAATGTTTTATTCGCTCGCGTGCTCCAAGTATAAGAGTGACACATTTAGCACTTAACAAAGCGTTACTGTATTACATATGGATCCAGTGTAAGCCCTATGGTGGAGCCGGTCAGGCCAGCACTGGCTGATTCCGCGTGGAGCGATCAGAATGCCTGGAAGCATGCTGTGCCGCACTACACCGCTGTTCGGCGGCGCAGCGGACCCGACTGAGCGAACACCCGCTGTCCGTGTGGCAGTCGTGGCTCCGCTGTTCACGTATCGAGCTCCCGCAGTCGGTGTGACAGTCGGAACGCGGGCAGCTCTGCTGCAGTTCGCTTTGGACTCTGAAATAAGAAGCATCCTGCAGCAAATTGCCTAGCCAGGTAACATCGGCAAATCATATTCATTCGTAGAAAGCTACCTATGGCGGTAAATGATCTTGCAACAACTTCCTAAAGAAAAGCTACGGCTGCTGAGTGCTCAGTATACTTTCTAGGTAAACTGTTACGGTAATGCTTTTTCAGGCGAGTGCCCGGTGCGAGATAGAGATAGTCGAATATACTCGTAGAGATATAGTCGAAGCAAATCGCCAACCGCCTAGGTAGAATTTCTGGTACAGGAGACTTGCGATGAATACATTTTATGCATAGGTTCTGATATATGTAAGCGGCTCTGTATGTCTCACAAACCGGAAAATGTCGCGAAACTACTTCATGGCAGATACATAATATTCATGTAAATGCGAAGCCGAACATGAAACGGCGCACGGTCCATGCATGACGGTCGCTGTTACCTGACTGTGCCCTCCGATTACTTTTCCATTACGTTTGAACTGCAAGTTACCTGTCGGTAGATTGACAACATCAACTTGCCGTATATTTCCGTGTCATTGCATCGGCTCAGACCTGGTGCTGGACACTTTGCGCGCCCGAAACTCGCCGCCGTCATTTTCCTTTGGTCACGAAAGGTCACGAGGAAATGCGGTCAAAGCGGTCACGTGAACACAACGGTTTTATATGAAGATTCAACGCCGTCAGCTGGCATCGATTAGACAATAACGTTGGGAACATAACAAGGACGTCAAATGGACTAACCTTTATTGCAAACAATGATAATGTAATTATCTCTAACGTCCGAAATATTAACTTCATTAACCCGGCGGCCGCTGGGCCTCCGCGCCACCCGCCGGCCGCTGGGGGGGGGGGCATATAGTTGCCCCCCCTTTACTTCTGCTACGATATCGTCGCAACGCGAAGAGATAGAGAAGCGAAACTTTGCACACATCTTCCTGAATACCTAGCCGAGGTTGTGTCCAAATTTGGTGTCGATCCCATTTGAAATGACGTCACAGTGACGTCATAAGTGAAATTATAGATTTGCGACTCTCATATTCCTCACGATACATCAGATATATGGGACCGAATATAAAGGGTCGATTATTGGTCAGAAACTAGATGGAAGTGGAATTAGATGTTTTAGGATGACAGCAGGTGCTGTCTAGTTCATTTGCAGTTGAATGCTCAGCGTCATCAGAAACGGTCCATATCGGAAAACGACAAAAATTTATGACGTCACTGTGACGTCATCTTAGGTGCTACAACCACCAAACATTCCTCAAACATTGCCTAGGTATTCATTTGAAGCTATGCCGAGTTTCACGTTCGCAACTCATCAGGTTTCGGAGATATTTCACAAAACGTAAAGGGGGGGGGGGCAACTTTATGCCCCCCCCCCCAGCGGCTCGTGGGTTAAGATACATTTCTACAGCCAATAAATCAACAATCACTCCAAGTACCAGCGAATATTATTTTACGTTATTCTCATACCAACCAAAATTAACTTAATTTTAATGAAATGACGGACGCCACCGTAGCCCACTGCACCACTAAATTCCTGGCATCTGTTTCCCATGATGAGTCTACGATGGAGTTATCGGCTAGCCCTCGTCCGTATCGGCATTTTTTCGACCGCTTGCGTATATGGAGGGAGGAGGGGGAGGTGTTGATCGGGCCCCATCCCAGCCTTCCGCCCATGATCGGGCTAGAGCTTCGCGAAAAAAGTCGGTGTTTAAGATGCCGGTGTTTAAGGTGCTAGGTTATTGGTTGACCTTCCAGGTCAACTGAGTGACCCAAATGTCGAGAGTATGCTCATGCTCATGTAACTTCTTTAGGTTACATGCGCTGTTATTGTTTTTTGGTCTTGATTTCGTTCCCATTTGTTTTGTTCAAAGATACATTTTAATACATTTGTATTAATACATAATTGGGGTGGGTCGGGATACCTTAGGTCAGGTCAGCCATTAGGGCTAGCTACACGTAGTAGGTGTTTACCACCACGTAAAGCTTTGCAATATGTTACATGGGCACTGGGCAGTAAGTAAATCCAAGTCTCTAATATTCATATAAGCGTTAAATTAGCTAAAAACCTACTCTTAAAGTCGTAAAACTCATCGAAGTTAACCAGGGTCATCTAAGGTCAATGATCGTGACCTAAAACCGTTCTGTGTGTGTGTGTCTGCAGGAACAACTACCACTACCCTCAGCTGCAGAAGATCGCCCAGGCGCCGCCGGGCGAGGGCTGCCCGCGCTGCGGCGGCCGCGTCTACCAGGCAGAGGAGATGCTGGCCATGGGAAAGGTGGGTGTCTGAGTCGCTCCACAGGCGCTGCTTCAGGGAACAGTGGGTGGCGCCGCGGGGGGAGGGGCGGCCGGGGTGAGGTGAGGAAGGGATGGCTGACTACACAGTGGATGTCCGAATTGAGAAAAAGGTATGTTAATGTTGTATAAGCTGCCTGATTCTGCTGTAGAAGTGTGTGCTGGTAAAACACGTGTCGTGGTATAATGATTCGTAGTTTTAGGGCGCACCAGCAGTGAGGCTATATCGCACGTTTCGTGGTAAATAGAGAACATGGTGTGCACTAGATTGTAGACTTACAAGATATGTTCAAAATCACGATGTCATTGCCAATGGTCAACCCAAATGTCAATGTCGCGATGTCAGTGGCGCGATAATATGAAAGAGAACAACGGTCTACAGTACCCATATACATACTATATGAATGCTCACAAAACGGACGTCAACATGACCATAACTATGATGCTGAACATAAAAAATATCTCGGCGGCGATCTTAATTTCATGATTCCGAAGTCTGCCAATCAAGTATGAAATTTGTCTCCTGAGGAACATTTTCCAAAAATAATTAATCATTTAACCTCATCACAGGGACCTTTATCCCATAATACTAGTGTCAAAAATTGATGACACAATCGTTCTTATGAGGAACACAACGCGTAAAATAAACTTCAAGGATAAATGCCATCTTCAAACACTAAAACAGCTTCATCGGATGGTGTTTTTATCGGATGGTGACTAACAGTTGTCAGCAACATCGGACATGTATTCTCTAAAACTACCGCCACTAATACGTGGTCGTGGTCAGAGACTAACACTAGAACGTGATCACAAAAGGAGCAGATGACAGAGACAGTGTTCACATCGACCGTGTCCCGGCAGGAGTGGTCGCAGACGAGGCGAGCGGTGGATGGTCGTGATACGAGAGGTCACGGAGGAGGCTGAAGGCATCAGAGTCGTGACACGAGAGGTCACAAAGAGGCTGAAGGCACAATGGGCGTGACATGAGAGGTCACGAACGAGGCTGATGGCGGCGGATGACACGAGATGTCATGGACGAGGATGATGGCGGCGGATGACACGAGATGTCATGGACGAGGATGATGGCGGCGGATGACACGAGATGTCATGGACGAGGCTGAAGGTGTCTGACCGTGATGCGAGATGGCACAGAAAGGCTGATTGCGGCTAAACCGTGATACGAAAGGTTGATGAGTGCATCAGGGCTGTGATACGAGGGCCATAGACAGGCTGAAAGCGGCTGGGCGATGGAAAGTTGGGTTATACTAATAACCGATACTTTACCGGCCAACCGCTTATGAAAATGTGTCTCATTTCGGGGATCACACTACATTCCAGAAAGCGATGCATCGCAAATGTAAAAGTTGGAGCTCCATAATAAGTCAAGGGAAGTGCTTTACTTCCAAGTCACTCCCTTGACCCCATACGTTTTCCCATCTCCGGACTCCGACGTTGCCGTCAAGGACGGATCTAGTGTTAAAAATTCTCCCTCGGGGATGCTTTTCTGGGTTTTGATTCACCCTTTGCATTGCTTTGTGTCATCACTCATATGAAACCTTTTTTAATTCATAGCCTGTTTTTCTCAACAAGCTATATTATTGCAATACAGGAGGACACATTTCTCCTCATTATCAAAACAAAAAAGTGTTTCCAATTTACAGGAGACCCCCTCATTCTTAGACGTTGGTAACCGCAAGGGTTCACCCTATTCCTGGTGACGCAACTCAGGGGACGACGGTCCGGTAAATTGGCGGCAAAAGGAATCGAACCCGTATCCTCCCGAACCTCGAACCTTCGTCTCAACAACGGCATCATTTATTTCGTTTGGAACTCCATATTCACGGCTATTCTGTCCAAGTGCCAATACATAAATACATATATGCTGAATGGTAAAGATGTTAAAGGAGAAGAAAGTACAGCACGTATGACGTGGTATCACACAATATAAGCGCCTAAAGCGCCTTCCTGATAAAGCGCCACCAGGACCGCCACAGCTTTCAGCTGATACAGGGCAAAATGTTCATACCACGCTACAGGACACGTTTGGTTTTCATCGTATGATTGATACCCCATTTGTGCATACGTGTTTTCTATCTTGCTTTCTCGGCGTACTTACAAGATGACTTGTCTAAAAGAAAGATCACAATCCTTGATCGTTTTAACAACGGAAAGTTAATCGTTGGCCGCTTTTGAATCTAAACAATTGGTGTTATTAAAAAATGTTAGTCACCAAGAGACACCACGGTAGTCTGATCTGGATATGACAGGGACATGTTCACATCGACCGTGTCCGGCAGGAGTGGTCGTGGACGAGGCGAGCGGTGGATGGTCGTGACACGAGAGGTCACAAAGAGGCTAAAGGCATCAGAGCCGTGAGACGAGCGGTCGCAGACGAGGATGATGGCGGAGGATGACACGAGATGTCATGGACGAGGCTGATGGCGGCGGATGACACGAGAGTTCGCAAAAAGGCTGAAAGCGGCTGGGTCCGGTGATGCGAGATGTCACGTGCGACGATAATACGCGATGCTAGAGGTCATGGACGAGAATGAGTCGTGATGCTATGGGTCACGGATGCTGATGAAACAGGATGCTCCGTGTGTCCTAGTGATTACCGTTTTTTACCACGATTACAACCTTTTCTCGGCCGGAAAGCTTCACGTTCCCCGACTTGTTTTGTACGGTCAGACCCATCGGTCTAGCGAGACCACCATTTCAGAGTCGAAAGGATGATAGAATTAGCGAGATACATCGGTCTGGGTGGTCACCATGTGGGTCACCGTGACTGAGGTTGTCTGGAATGACAGAGCCATCCATCCCCGCAAAGCGTCAACCTACCGCACGAGGGCCTGCTCCTGGAGATCTACTCACTTATGACGCAGCTGACAGTCCAGCTAGGTCCTAGGATCGGGGGGTTGATTAGGATTTGTGCGTCCTAAGAATAGATCAGAGTATATCAGAGGACGTCGTTTGATAGGTGTTCCTGTATTAAACCAGAGTCTGGGAACCGGCCGAGAGGGCCACACCAGGTGCAGGAGGACCGTGCTGCCATCTGTATGTGGTACTTTAAACTTTCGATTAAAATTATCACCGGTAACCCGGGTGCGGGAAAGGTCAGGTGATAGGCCCGTGTTGTCACTCGCGACAACCACTGCTTAGCGTGACGCCCAAGCCACTCATTAATTTCCTCGGAAAAATGTCTTCAAAAAGTGTAGAGGCCTCATAATTGCCAGTGATGCATGATCCTAGAGGTCACAGCTGGGGGCGGAGCTTGCTATACAGATTACAGTGCAACGCCTGCGATTTTCCCCCACGAATCAGCGCTAACCCCATCAACTTTAACTTGTTTGTACGACTTTGTGGCCTAAGGAATCAATCTTTTTTCACATTGAGAAGCTTGGAATGTCTGTTTACTGCGAAAGATGGTCGCTGTAATGATAGGAATTGTTTTAGTCGAGCATCTTATTGCACATGACAATCTGACTTTGTAGGTTTGGAGACTTCTTCCTACCATTATCCTTGCAAAAACTCCATGACCCACGGTCACAGACAAGGCTGAAAATTGAAAGTAACTGAGTCGTCGATTACTTATAAGCGATAATTCACGGTACTACGGCTCCTTATTGATGTAGCGTGTCATTACGAAGCTGAATCCCGATTGCTCTGAAAAAGTGTTCGGTCTCATTCCTCTTTCTCCTGGGGTATCATTGAGTTTTCTTTTCTTTTCTTTTCTAAGACTTCGTTTATGCCCAAAGTATGTACTTCTTTGACATTATACGATGGTGCTGTCGACGATGGTGCTGCAATTCGTCTCAGTACAAGCGAGGGTTTCATTTTGATTTTTCTAATTTCTCAGTAGCGCTAAGTTTACTTTTTGTGAAAAGAACTTCAAAACCTAGAGCAACCGTGCAAACGTTACGTTCATAGTATTGAAACCTAAATCAATTCCGAGCATATCCACGTAAATGACCAGGGCTGTGGAGTCGATGGATTTTCGGTAACTCCGACTCCGGCTCCGGCTCCAACTTCCAAGACTGACTCCGACTCCGGCTCAGACTCCGGTCAAAACCGTGGAGTCCGACCCATTTCAACTCCGACTCCACAACTCTGTAAGTGACGGTGATTTGGTGTGATAAATAATAAAAAGAGGTGAATATCAACAATGGTTATTGCTCATCGGCGGACGAAAACAAATCTACACAAGCACAACGATGTGACTGCAGCAACGACAAGCATTAACAATGACGATAAGGTATCCATGCAATGACGTGGGGCCAGCTGCGCGTAAATATATGGATCTCTGTGCAAACTGGATGTGGTTGTTTGCTACACCAGAAGATACCGCTGTTCCTGAGCGGAAGTAAGTGATGGATCGGGAAGGAGCGGTCGGTCACCCAACGAGTCCCCAGGCGCTGGTAGCTGTTAACCCGCGCCCCCCTGGTGGGGTCGGTTTATAGGTAACGCGACCTGAAGCCACTCGCACCAAAATCCTCTTGCACCAATCATTGGATTCTGTTGCACCGCATACCCACTCCAAGACTCTGCCGTGACAATTTACCGATAAGTTCTGCCAAGCTTCCGTAGTTTTACGTTATGAGCACGTGCAACAGAATTTATCACCGTAGATTAGCTAATTATGATTTTTCTCGTCTACCTAGCTAAATATTTTGATGTAAGAGGCCTCTCGTGTGTGTGTGTGGGGGGGGCTGTTTTTGCCCCCCCCCCCGTATCTCCGAAACCACTGGACAAATTTGCAAAATTTAAGCGGCGTTCGATAATTATCTCAAATATGTCGGGTTTCTCCAATTTCGTTGACCTCAGGGTCACTGCTGACGTCACAGGTCAGGCCAAAAATGAAAAAAAATGAAACATTTACAGGTCTTTCAGGGAATGCGCTATATGTATCATCGATAAAAACGCATTTTATCGAAAATCATCGATAGAGCGTGAGTTGCCTAGTACATATGTTGCTAATAGAGGTCT